AATTTGGAAATTTATTTCAGTGAGAGCCATATAATATATTTTAAAAGTGAATTCAACTAAATGTCAGTATAATAAGCCTCTGAATTTATTCTTTTAAATAATGTTGTTATAACACTCACCATTAATGCGACTTCTGGTGCTGCATGGATTTGCTGATGTCTTTGTAGTCGGGTTGGTACTTGGTGAGGTTAAGCTTCATGCAAGCGTTGAGGCTTTCATCCGTTAAACGTGATCGTAGGTTGGACTTGATGTTTTTAAGATGTGAGAATGACTGCTCACATGCATACGTAGATCCAAACATGGTCAATACAGCAATACTCACACGCTGCAGTGTGTGGTATGTGACAGGAAGCGCGTTCCAAGTTTTGAGAATCAGCTGGTCTTCGGGTTGGAGTTTTTTCATTTCTGTCCACATGTGCTTGCTCGCCAACTCCGCTTTCTGTCGTGTGATTCTTTCCAAATCTTCATTCAGTGACTTGAACTTATTCACCCACATGTCTGAGGCCTTCAGGTCAGCCACTTCTGCTTCAAAATCTCTGACGGAGACACCAGGGATGTAATTCAGGTCGGCTGTGTTCAGTGAACACTCGTTTGGATGGGTGATGAACTTAAAAAGACGAGTGTGCTCACGAAATTCTCCAAAGCGTGCTTTGAAGGACTGTAGGAGACTGGATGTGCAGCCAGCTAGCTGGTGGAGATCAAGGTTTTGAATGGGCTCACTTGCTGTGCATGCATCTTTAAATTGGCTCAGTTTTTCAAAATGTAGTAAACGACCTGTTTCAAGATCCGTGATGAAAAGCTCCAGCTTGTTTTCAAAAGCAAATACAGCTTGTTGAAGGGATAACACTGTATTTCCAATGCCTTGCATTTTCACGTTGAGCTGGTTCAGATGTTCAGTCAGATCTACGAGATAGTAAAACTTGAGGAGCCACTCGGTGTCGGCTAGCTCAGGATGCCCGACGCCTTTCATTTCAAGGAAAGTCCGGATTTCGTTCAGGCAAGCCGCAAAACGGCTAAGCACCTTCCCTCTTGACAACCAACGCACATTGCTGTGCAAAAGCAGACCAGGATAGTTATTTACAACTTCATCCAGCAGTGTTTTAAACTGGCGATCATTTAAGGCTCGGGCAACAATAAAGTTGATCACACGAATGACCAGCGACATCACTTCGCCAAACTGCCTGTCACACATCTGAGCACAAAGTGCCTCCTGGTGTATAATGCAATGGAAACTTAGGATGGGTCTATTTTCATGTTCACGGAGAAGCGCCACATATCCTTTGTTTTTCCCCACCATACACGGAGAACCATCAGTACACACTGAGAGAAGTTTATCCATAGGTAGACTTTTTTCTTGAGCAAACTCCATGAAAGACTTGAATAAATCCTCACCTCTTGTGGACCCTTTTAATGGCAGAACAGCAAGACTTTCTTCGCGCAGTGTGTCACCAACAGCATATCTTGCAATCACGCTGAACTGCGACAAATGGCTCACGTCTGTTGACTCATCCAAAGCCAGAGAAAAGAACGGCGCTGCATTTATGTCCTTCACTTGCGTTTCCTCCACTTTGTTTGCCATCACGATGGTACGATCATGAACAGTTCTTGCCGACAGAGGCATGTCTTGTATCCGTTTGATTATCTTGTCTTTGTTCGGAAGATCATCAAAAAGTTCATTGGCTACATCCAGCATGAACGTTTTAGCATACTCGCCATCTGTGAATGGTTTTCCGTTCCTCACTATTGCTAAAGAACCAGCAAAGCTAGCCGAATTATAGTCACCTTGCCGGGTCCATACGCGGAGTTGCTGCTGGCTAGCTTGCACCCTGCTCAGAAGCTCTTGGCACGCTTTCTTTCTGCTGTCTCCCGCAGGGTATTTTGATGCAAAGGTAGCGTGGCGCGTGTCGAAGTGCCGCTTTACATTCGACCGTTTCAACGATGTAATTTTGTCATTGCAAATTAGACACACCGCAGAACCCGCTCTCTCCACAAAGGCGAATTCTTCGGTCCATTCGTCCTGAAATGTACGATACTCGTCGTCTTTTTTTCTTTTCGCCATCTTCTTCGTCGAAGGGTTAGCTTTGAGCTAATGACCGAGCAGACGCAGTCTCAGACTGATTCAAAAGGGGGCGTTTACCTGTTTTACCCAGCAACGGCAAACGTAGGCCAGTATCATCCAATTAAAATAATGGACAATTGCTCCTGCAGCCCTGAACAGGACATGCGCAGTGAAAAATCGATGGATGGATTAAAACAAGTGAGAATATTTTGTTTTATCTGCGAGCCATATGCAATCATCAAAAGAGCCACATCTGGCTCGCGAGCCATAGGTTCCCGACCCCTGCGCTAACACATCGTGCGCTGACTCACGCATCATACACTCACGCTGCTGCTGACTCACTCACACATCATATACGCGCTCACTCATCATACACTAACTCACTCATCATATGTTGACCCGCATATCATACGCTGACTCACACATCATAGTCACTCACGCTGCTGCTGACTCACTCAGACATCATACACTGGGAGTGTCGTGCTGCCAGCTATGGCTGCAGGTTTTGTCGTACGTGTTATGTATATCGTTTATTGTTAAATTTTAAATCACAGTTCCTATGATTACTGTTGTTACATTGTTTTTGTAGCTTTATTTTTGGTAATTCGAAAACATATGGTTCATCTTATGGTTGTTGGCTTGCACCACATTGTGATTTTTGCACACAGCGTTTTAATAAGTTTTTTTTTTGTGTGTGGAATATTTGCTGGTTTATTCCAGGATGTTTCTGGTACGCGTTGTCGCTTTAAGATGTTCTGTGTTCAAATTTTGTTTGTTGTGGTTGCACCCGACTTAATAGCCGCATGGCTCACAGGGCTGTACCTAATAAATGAAACTTGAAACAAATGAAACTTGAAATGCTACTACCACTGCTGCTGATGCTACTGCTGATGCTACTATCACTGCTGCTGATGCGATTGCCACTGCTGCTGATGCTACTACCACTGCTGCTGATGCGATTGCCACTGCTGCTGATGCTACTACCACTGCTGCTGATGCGATTGCCACTGCTGCTGATGCTACTATCACTGCTGCTGATACTACTACCACTGCTGCTACTATCACTGCTGCTGATGCTACTACCACTGCTGCTACTATCACTGCTGCTAATGCTACTATCACTGCTGCTATCACTGCTGCTGATGCTACTATCACTGCTGCTGATACTACTACCACTGCTGCTGATACTACTACCACTGCTGTTAATGCTACTACCACTGCTGCTACTATCACTGCTGCTAATGCTACTATCACTGCTGCTATCACTGCTGCTGCTACTATCACTGCTGCTGATACTACTATCACTGCTGCTAATGCTACTACCACTGCTGCTAATGCTACTATCACTGCTGCTAATGCTACTACCACTGCTGCTACTATCACTGCTGCTGATGCTACTATCACTGCTGCTAATGCTACTACCACTGCTGCTACTACCACTGCTGCTAATGCTACTACCACTGCTGCTACTATCACTGCTGCTGATGCTACTACCACTGCTGCTAATGCTACTATCACTGCTGCTAATGCTACTACCACTGCTGCTACTACCACTGCTGCTAATGCTACTATCACTGCTGCTAATGCTACTACCACTGCTGCTACTACCACTGCTGCTAATGCTACTATCACTGCTGCTAATGCTACTACCACTGCTGCTACTATCACTGCTGCTAATGCTACTATCACTGCTGCTAATGCTACTACCACTGCTGCTACTATCACTGTTGCTGATGCTACTATCACTGCTGCTGATACTACTACCACTGCTGCTAATGCTACTACCACTGCTGCTAATGCTACTATCACTGCTGCTATCACTGCTGCTGATGCTACTATCACTGCTGCTGATACTACTACCACTGCTGCTAATGCTACTACCACTGCTGCTAATGCTACTATCACTGCTATCACTGCTGCGGATGCTACTATCACTGCTGCTGATACTACTACCACTGCTGCTAATGCTACTATCACTGCTGCTGATACTACTACCACTGCTGCTACTACCACTGCTGCTGATGCTACTACCACTGCTGCTACTATCACTGCTGCTGATGCTACTACCACTGATGCTACTATCACTGCTGCTGATACTACTACCACTGCTGCTAATGCTACTATCACTGCTGCTGATGCTACTACTACTGCTGCTGATGCTACTACCGCTGCTGCTGATGCTACTACCACTGCTGCTACTACCACTGCTGCTGATGCTACTACCACTGCTGCTACTATCACTGCTGCTAATGCTACTATCACTGCTGCTAATGCTACTACCACTGCTGCTACTATCACTGTTGCTGATGCTACTATCACTGCTGCTGATACTACTACCACTGCTGCTAATGCTACTACCACTGCTGCTAATGCTATTATCACTGCTATCACTGCTGCGGATGCTCTAATCACTGCTGCTGATACTACTACCACTGCTGCTAATGCTACTATCACTGCTGCTGATACTACTACCACTGCTGCTACTACCACTGCTGCTGATGCTACTACCACTGCTGCTACTATCACTGCTGCTGATGCTACTACCACTGATGCTACTATCACTGCTGCTGATACTACTACCACTGCTGCTAATGCTACTATCACTGCTGCTGATGCTACTACTACTGCGGCTGATGCTACTACCGCTGCTGCTGATGCTACTACCACTGCTGCTACTACCACTGCTGCTGATCCTACTATCACTGCTGCTGATGCTACTACCACTGCTGCTATTATCACTGCTGCTGATGCGACTGCCACTGCTGCTACTACCACTGCTGCTGATGCTACTACCACTGCTGCTGATGCTACTGCTGATGCTATCACTGCTGCTGATACGACTGCTGGAGCTGTTGCTCTGTAAAATAGCGATTCGGAATCGATTCCCGGAACCTCAACCCCGCCTCTACCGGCGAATGCAATCGATATCGGAATCTTGCTCTATTATTAATCGACGAATCGATTCGTACAGTATTCATTATAAGCCGCCGGGGCTCATCCGCGCATCGTCCGTGGTGGTGGTTGTTGTGGTTATTGTGGTGGTGGTTGTTGTGGTTATTGTGGTGGTTGTTGTGGTTGTCGTGGTTGTTGTAGCTGAGAGGGATACGCGGCCATGGCCGGAGAGGCGGCGGCGGCGGTGGCCGGCGCGGCGGTGGGGGAGAGCTTGGACGAGGCGGCCGTCGTATGGAGCCCCGAGGTTGAAGTTTGTCTATTCCACGCCATGCTGGGTCACAAGCCCGTGGGTGAGACGACTACCACCACCATACTATACTACTACCATAACTACCACTATATTACTACCATCACTACTACCACTATACTACTACCATAACTACCACTATACTACTACCATCACTACTACCACTATACTACTACCATCACTACTACCACTATACTACTACCATCACTACCACTATACTACTACCATCACTACCACTACACTACTACCATCACTACCACTATACTACTACCATCACTACCACTATACTACTACCATCACTACCACTATACTACTACCATCACTACCACTATACTACTACCACCACTATACTATACTACTACCATAACTACCACTATACTACTACCACCACTATACTATACTACTACCATAACTACCACTATACTACTACCATCACTACCACTACACTACTACCATCACTACCACTACACTACTACCATCACTACCACTATACTACTACCATCACTACCACTACGCTACTACCATCACTACTACTATACTACTACCATCACTACCACTATACTACTACCATAACTACCACTATACTACTACCATCACTATCACTACACTACTACCACTATACTACTATACTACTACCATCACTATCACTACACTACTACCACTATACTACTATACTACTACCATCACTACCACTATACTACTACCACCACTATACTATACTACTACCATAACTACCACTATACTACTACCACCACTATACTATACTACTACCATAACTACCACTATACTACTACCACCACTATACTATACTACTACCATAACTACCACTATACTACTACCATCACTACCACTACACTACTACCACTATACTATACTACTACCATCACTACCACTATACTACTACCATCACTACCACTACACTACTACCACTATACTACTATACTACTACCATCACTACCACTATACTACTACCACTATACTATACTATTACCATCACTACCACTATACTACTACCATCACTACCACTATACTACTACCACCACTATACTATACTATTACCATAACTACCACTATACTACTACCACCACTATACTATACTACTACCATACTACCACTATACTACTACCATCACTACCACTACACTACTACCACTATACTATACTACTACCATCACTACCACTATACTACTACCATCACTACCACTACACTACTACCACTATACTACTATACTACTACCATCACTACCACTATACTACTACCACTATACTATACTACTACCATCACTACCACTATACTACTACCATCACTACCACTATACTACTACCATCACTACCACTATACTACTACCATCACTACCACTATACTACCACCACTACTACTATACTACCACCGCCACTACTACTATACTACTACCATCACTACCCCTATACTACTACCATCACTACCACTATACTACTACCATCACTACCACTATACTACTACCATCACTACCACTATACTATTACCATCACTACCACTATACTACTACCATCACTACCACTACACTACCACCACTACTACTATACTACCACCACCACTACTACTATACTACTACCATCACTACCCCTATACTACTACCATCACTACCACTATACTACCACCATCACTACCACTATACTACCATCACTACCACTATACTACCACCACTACTACTATACTACCACCACCACTACTACTATACTATTACCATCACTACCCCTATACTACTACCATCACTACCACTATACTACTACCATCACTACCACTTTACTACTACCATCACTACCACTATACTACTACCACTATACTACTATACTACTACCATCACTACCACTATACTACTACCACTATACTACTACCATCACTACCACTACACTACTACCATCACTACCACTATACTACTACCGCCACTACTACTATACTACTACCACTATACTACTATACTACTACCATCACTACCACTATATTACTACCACTATACTACTACCATCACTACCACTGTACTACTACCATCACTACCACTACACTACTACCATCACTACCACTATACTACTACCACCACTACTACTATACTATTACCATCACTACCACTACACTACTACCATCACTACTACTATACTACTACCACTATACTACTACCATCACAACCACTATACCACTACCACTACACAACTACCACTATACTACTATACTACTACCATCACTACCACTACACTACTGCCACTATACTACTACCATCACTACCACTACACTACTACCATAAATACCACTATACTACTACCATCACTACCACTATACTACTACCATCACTACCACTATACTACTACCACCATACTACTACCATCACTACTACTATACTACTACCATCACTATCACTATACTACTACCATCACTACCACTATACTACTACCATCACTACCACTATACTACTACCACTATACTACTACCATCACTACCACTATACTACTACCACTATACTATACTATTACCATCACTACCACTATACTACTACCATCACTACCACTATACTACTACCACCACTATACTATACTATTACCATAACTACCACTATACTACTACCACCACTATACTATACTACTACCATAACTACCACTATACTACTACCATCACTACCACTACACTACTACCACTATACTATACTACTACCATCACTACCACTATACTACTACCATCACTACCACTACACTACTACCACTATACTACTATACTACTACCATCACTACCACTATACTACTACCACTATACTATACTACTACCATCACTACCACTATACTACTACCATCACTACCACTATACTACTACCATCACTACCACTATACTACTACCATCACTACCACTATACTACCACCACTACTACTATACTACCACCGCCACTACTACTATACTACTACCATCACTACCCCTATACTACTACCATCACTACCACTATACTACTACCATCACTACCACTATACTACTACCATCACTACCACTATACTATTACCATCACTACCACTATACTACTACCATCACTACCACTACACTACCACCACTACTACTATACTACCACCACCACTACTACTATACTACTACCATCACTACCCCTATACTACTACCATCACTACCACTATACTACCACCATCACTACCACTATACTACCATCACTACCACTATACTACCACCACTACTACTATACTACCACCACCACTACTACTATACTATTACCATCACTACCCCTATACTACTACCATCACTACCACTATACTACTACCATCACTACCACTTTACTACTACCATCACTACCACTATACTACTACCACTATACTACTATACTACTACCATCACTACCACTATACTACTACCACTATACTACTACCATCACTACCACTACACTACTACCATCACTACCACTATACTACTACCGCCACTACTACTATACTACTACCACTATACTACTATACTACTACCATCACTACCACTATATTACTACCACTATACTACTACCATCACTACCACTGTACTACTACCATCACTACCACTACACTACTACCATCACTACCACTATACTACTACCACCACTACTACTATACTATTACCATCACTACCACTACACTACTACCATCACTACTACTATACTACTACCACTATACTACTACCATCACAACCACTATACCACTACCACTACACAACTACCACTATACTACTACCATCACTACCACTACACTACTGCCACTATACTACTACCATCACTACCACTACACTACTACCATAAATACCACTATACTACTACCATCACTACCACTATACTACTACCATCACTACCACTATACTACTACCACCATACTACTACCATCACTACTACTATACTACTACCATCACTATCACTATACTACTACCATCACTACCACTATACTACTACCATCACTACCACTATACTACTACCACTATACTACTACCATCACTACCACTATACTACTACCATCACTACCACTATACTACCATTATACTACTACAATCACTACCACTATACTACTACCATCACTACCACTATACTACCATCACTACTCCTATACTACTACCATCACTACCACTATACTACTACCATCACTACCACTATACTACTACAATAACTACCACAATACTACTACCATCACTACCATTTTACTACTACCATCACTACCACTATACTACTACCATCACTACCACTATACTACTCCCACCACCACCACTATACTACTATACTACTACCATCACTACCACTATACTACTACCATCACTACCACTATACTACTACAATATCTACCACTATACTACTACCATCACTACCACTATACTACTATACTACTACCACCACTACTACTATACTCCTACCATCACTACCACTATACTACTACCATCACTACCACTATACTACTACAATAACTACCACTATACTACTACAATAACTACCACTATACTACTACCACTATACTCCAACCATCATTACTACTATACTACTACCATCACTACCACTATACTACTACAATAACTACCACTATAATACTACCATCACTACCACTATACTACTACCACCACTACCACTATATTACAACTACCATCACTACCACTATACTACTACCACCACTACCACTATACTACTACCATCACTACCACTATTACTACCATCACTACCACTATACTACTACCATCACTACCACTATACTACTACTATCACTACCACTATACTCCTACCACTATACTACTACCACGATACTACTACCATCACTACCACTATACTACTACCATCAATACCACTATACTACTACCACTATACTACTACCATCACTACCACTATACTACTACCACCACTACCCCTATACTCCAACCATCATTACTACTATACTACTACCATCACTACCACTATACTACTACAATAACTACCACTATAATACTACCATCACTACCACTATACTACTACCACCACTACCACTATATTACAACTACCATCACTACCACTATACTACTACCACCACTACCACTATACTACTACCATCACTACCACTATTACTACCATCACTACCACTATACTACTACCATCACTACCACTATACTACTACAATAACTACCACTATAATACTACCATCACTACCACTATACTACTACCACCACTACCACTATATTACAACTACCATCACTACCACTATACTACTACCACCACTACCACTATACTACTACCATCACTACCACTATTACTACCATCACTACCACTATACTACTACCATCACTACCACTATACTACTACTATCACTACCACTATACTCCTACCACTATACTACTACCACGATACTACTACCATCACTACCACTATACTACTACCATCACTACCACTATACTACTACCACTATACTACTACCATCACTACCACTATACTACTACCACCACTACCACTATACTACTACCACTATAATACTACCATTATACTACTGTACTACTACCACCACTACCACTATACTACTACCACGATACTACTACCATCACTACTACTATACTACTACCATCACTACCACTATACTACTACCACCACTACCACTATACTACTACCACTATAATACTACCATCACTACCACTACACTACTACCACCACTACCACTATACTACTACCACGATACTACTACCATCACTACCACTATACTACTACCATCACTACCACTATACTACTACCACGATACTACTACCATCACTACCACTATACTACTACCACCACTACCACTATACTACTACCACTACCACTATACTACTACCATCACTACCACTATACTACTACCACCACTACCACTATACTACTACCACCACTACCACTATACTACTACCATCACTACCATTACTGTCATAACTTTACTATAGTAAGGCCATGCTGGGACACGTGGGTGAGACTACCACTGCTATACTAACTACCATAACTACCATAACCACGATATTACTTGCCATAACTGCCACTATACTACCATCACTACTGTCATAACTACTACAGTAACACCACACCATGCTGGGACACAAGCCCGTGGGTGAGACTACCACCGCTATACTACCATTACTACAATTATACTACTACCATGACTACCACGACTATCATAACTACTGCAGTTATTATAGTGTAGTGGGTTCTATGGAGGCACATACTTGACTTTGGAGGCAACACGTTTATTATAACACCCCAACAGGGTAACTGCATAAACGGGTCAGGCCAGCAACACACTGCCTGACCCACGAAGCCGAGCTTAACGACCGAAGACCGAAGAGACGTAGCACCGAGGGTTCCACTCCAGCAGACAGCCGCGATTGCTCTCGGGACCTCTCCTTTATGCTCCCGAGCGTGGCCTTGCTCCGCCCTCGGCCATGCCCCCTTCTGTATCTCACCAGAAGGTTCTCGACCGAGCACCACGTGTCCCTCAAACCACCCTTTGGGCCTCCTCGCTACCCTGTCCCGGTCACGTGCCCTCTCGGGTTCACCCAGACTGTCACGTCCTTACTTGCCCTCTCTCTAACTGCCACCAGAACCATGCCCCCTAGGGCCTGCTTCCATGCCATACCTACTCTGGTGCCAGAGAGAGGCTCAGGACACACACTTCCACTCTTGTGACAGTAGCTGGCGCTAAACACCATAGTGACTCCATTAACGTCACTACAATAGTAACACCACGCCCGTGCCTACCATTAGACAGTGGTAAAGGCGGAGCGCCGCAAGTGCCCACTCACGCCGCTGGCTGCGGGACATGCGCGGAGTTCACGAGGTGGTGGAGGTGGTGGTGGAGGAGGTGGAGGAGGTGGAGGAGGTGGTGGAGGTGGTGGAGGTGGTGGTGGAGGTTGATGGTTGTCGTGGCGGTGGCGGTGGTGGCGGCGGTGTAGGTGGTGGCGGTGGCGATGGTAGTGGTGTGAAAGCGTCTCCGTCTCCCCACAGGGATCAACCGACACTTCCACATGGTGTGCATCCGCGACAAGTTCAGTCAGAACATCGGGCGACAGGTCCCCTCCAGAGTCATCTGGGATCACCTGGCCGCCATGTATGACATTCCGGCCTTGGTGCGAGCGCAGGTGAGGCATTTAAACTCTTTCACCAACTATATTTATTTTACCAGGTAAAGGACCCATCACTGAGCTGCTGTGTAGCAAATGATAGCCTGACAAAGTGGCGGTATCATCATCGTGTGCAAATTTACAGCAGCCAAGTGCTCTTGAATGCGCGTTGATTGTAAATGCGGAGGGGAAAAACTGGAGGACCCGGATAAAAATCCACGCGACCACGGGAGAGAGAGGGAGATGCAAACTCAACTAAATTATAAACTATTTTAAAACTGAACTATTTTGATTTTACCAGGTAAGTCCCACTTAGCCATGTAGCTATTTTTTAAGTAGCGACCTGGCTATCACAAATGATAGCTCAACGAAGTGGCTTGTCACCATCGCGTGGAAATTTATAGCAGCAGCCAAATGCTCTAAACGCGTGAGATTTCTAAATGTGGAGGGGAAAAACCGGAGGACCGGGAGAAAAATCTACGTCACCACGGGAAGAGGGAAAACGCAAATTCCAAATATACCGCAGGCGTCAGGGTCGGGATCGAACTGACAACCTCCTGTCGACCAGGTGAGGTAGTTAACATCTCATAGCCACCGTGGCGCCCTTTCCCGCGGTCCTGGGCTGAGTTTGTGTTTGGAGAAACTGCACACACTTCCCCACATGTCAAAACTACTAGTTACGATAGTAACCAGCAGGGTCGTTAGTTGTCTCAACCTCTGGACAGCATGTTTGGTCGCGTACACAGGGGCGATAGAAGTTCAACATGCAAGTGCATGTTGAACACAGACAAGACAAAGATCACCCGCGTAGCCTTCAGCAGACTGTCGGGGCCAGTGTTGTTGAGCAAGTAGTGCCTATGAAGGCTGGCACGGCACACGAGGGGATGAGTGGCCAGGACCACGCTCGGCCGCCTTTGTCTCCCCCAGTGGTGATGTTTACTACACACCGCACCAGGTACGCATTTGAGGCCGAGGGCAGGCATGCAGATGTCTCGTGCTGTCTTGTAGTGTGTGGTGTGTATCATGTTGTCGTGTCTTGCCGTGTGTGGTGTTTATCGTGTTGTGTCTTGTCTTGTGGTGTGTATCGTGCTGTGTCTTGTGGTGTGTGGCGTGTATCATGTTGTGTCTTGTGGTGTGTATCGTGTTGTGTCTTGTTGTGTGTGGTATCGTGTTGTGTCTTGTGGTGTGTATCGTGTTGTGTCTTGTGGTGTGTGGTGTGTATCGTGTTGTGTCTTGTGGTGTGTATCGTGCTGTGCTGTGTCTTGTGGTGTGTATCATGCTGTCGTGTCTTGTGGCATGTATCATGTTGTGTCTTGTGGTGTGTGGTATCGTGTTGTCGTGTCTTGTGGTGTGTGGCGTGTATCGTGCTGTCGTGTCTTGTGGTGTGTGTCGTGCTGTCGTGTCTTGTGGTGTGTGGTGTGTGTCGTGCTGTCGTGTCTTGTGGTGTGTGGTGTGTGTCGTGCTGTCGTGTCTTGTGGTGTGTCTCGTGTTGTGTCTTGTGGTATGTATCGTGTTGTCGTGTCTTGTGGTGTGTGGTGTTTATCGTGTTGTGTCTTGTCTTGTGGTGTGTATCGTGCTGTGCTGTGTCCTGTGGTGTGTGTCGTGTTGTGTCTTGTGGTGTGTGGCGTGTATCGTGTTGTGTTTTGTGGTGTGTATATCGTGTTGTCGTGTCTTGTGGTGTGTGGTGTGTGTCGTGCTGTCGTGTCTTGTGGTGTGTGGCGTGTATCGTGTTGTGTCTTGTGGTGTGTGGCGTGTATCGTGCTGTGTCTTGTGGTGTGTGGTGTGTATCATGCTGTCGTGTTTTGTGGTGTGTGGCGTGTATCGTGTCTTGTGGTGTGTATCGTGTCGTGATTTGTGGTGTGTATCGTGTTGTCGTGTCTTATGGTGTGTGGTGTGTATCGTGTCTTGTGGTGTGTGGTGTGTGTCGTGTTGTGTCTTGTGGTGTGTGGTGTGTGTCGTGTCTTGCCGTGTGTGGTGTGTCGTGCTGTGTCTTGTGGTGTGTGGTGTGTATCGTGTTGTGTCTTGTGGTGTGTGGTGTGTATCGTGTTGTCGTGTCTTGTGGTGTGTGGTGTGTATCGTGTTTTCGTGTCTTGCCGTGTGTGGTGTGTATCGGGTTGTCTTGTGGTGTGTATCGTGCTGTGTCTTGTGGTGTGTGGTGTGTATCGTGCTGTGTCTTGTGGTGTGTGGTGTGTATCGTGTTGTGTCTTGTGGTGTGTATCGTGCTGTGTCTTGTGGTGTGTGGTGTGTATCGTGTCTTGTGGTGTGTGGTGTGTATCGTGCTGTGGCTTGTGGTGTGTATCGTGTTGTTGTGTCTTGTCGTGTGTGGTGTGTGTCGTGCTGTGTCTTGTGGTGTGTGGTGTGTATCGTGTTGTGTCTTGTGGTGTGTATCATGTCGTGACTTGTGGTGTGTGGTGTTTATCGTGTTGTGTCGTGTGGTGTGTGGTGTGTGTCGTGCTGTCGTGTCTTGTGGTGTGTGGTGTATCGTGTTGTCTTGTGGTGTGTATCGTGTCGTGTCTTGTGGTGTGTATCGTGTTGTGTCTTGTGGTGTGTGGTGTCTATCGTGTTGTGTCTTGTGGTGTGTATCGTGTTGTGTCTTGTGGTGTGTGGTGTGTATCGTGGTGTGTCTTGTGGTGTGTATCGTGCTGTGTCTTGTGGTGTGTATCGTGTTGTGTCTTGTGGTGTGTATCGTGTTGTGTCTTGTGGTGTGTGGTGTGTATCGTGTTGTGTCTTGTGGTGTGTATCGTGCTGTGTCTTGTGGTGTGTGGTGTGTATCGTGTTGTGTCTTGTGGTGTGTATCGTGTCGTGACTTGTGGTGTGTGGTGTGTATCGTGTTCCGCGCCTTATGAGCAGAACGACTCTGAGTCGCTGCCCTTCCCCAACACGGAGCGGCCTTTCTGCCTCCCGGACGACATCCTCCATGACGGTCGCGACATCAAGGAAGGTAACCTAGCCTGGCACCAACCACCAGCCGGCCTCGCCGCCCTTCATGAGTGCCACCCTCACGACTACTCGATCTCTCTAATCTGGCCTTTAACTTCCCCCCACTCGATCGCTCCCTGGTCCTGGCTGTGTAGCCCTGCAGGTTCTGCTGATTTCCTAGCTTTCCATACACGGCGGTTGGCACATCGATGGGGTGTACGGATTAATTGTTGCACTTTTATAAAAGTACATGGGTGGGTGGGTGGGTGGTTTGGTGGGTGGGTGGATGGGTTGGTGGGTGGGTGGTTGGGTTGGTGGGTGGTTGGGTTGGTGGGTGGTTGGGTTGGTGGGTGGGTTGGTGGGTTGGTGGGTGGGCTGGTGGGTGGGCTGGTGGGTGGGCTGGTGGGTGGGTTGGTGGGTGGGTTGATGGGTCGGTGGGTGGGTCGGTGGATGGGTGGGTGGGTCGATGGTAATGCACTGCACTGTTGCTCCCCTCCCCACCCCCAGGGAAAGTTGTGGAGGTCCAAGAAGACGCGCCAGAGAGGGAGTCGAGCCAGGGTCCTGCCGAAGACAGTAAGTCACTCCTCACCATCACCCCTCACCACGTCCACAACCGTTACCACGTCCACCAGCATCACCCCTCACCACGTCCACCACCATCACCCTCATCACGTCCACCACCATCACCTTCACCCCGTCCACCACCATTACCCTCGCCACGTCCACCACCATCATCCTCACCACGTCCACCATCATCACCCCTCAGCACGTCCACCATCATCACCCCTCAGCACGTCCACCACCATGACCCCTCAGCACGTCCACCACCATCACCCTCACCATGTCCACCATCCACCATCATCACCCCTCAGCACGTCCACCACCATCACCCTCACCACGTCCACCATCACCCTCACCACATGCTAGTCTGTGGGTCTCTACACGAGTCAGTGGGTCTCTACGCTAGTCTGTGGGTCTCTATGCGAGGCAGTGGGTCTCTACGCGAGTCTGTGGGTCTCTACGCGAGTCTGTGGGTCTCTACGCGAGTCTGTGGGTCTCTACGTGAGTAAGTAGGTCTCTACGCTAGCCTGTGGGTCTCTACACGAGTCAGTGGGTCTCTACGCTGGTCTGTGGGTCTCTATGCGAGGCAGTGCGTAATCTGCGCAAGTCTGTCGGTCACTACGTGAGTCTGTGGGTCTCTATGCGAGTCTGTGGGTCTCTACGCGAGTCTGTGGGTCTCTACGTGAGTCTGTGGGTTTCTACACGAGTCTGTGGGTCTCTACGCTAGTCAGTGGGTCTCTACGCTAGTCAGTGGGTCTCTACGCGAGTCTGTGGGCCTCTACGCGAGTCAGTGGGTCTCTACGCGAGTCTGTGGGTCTCTACGTGAGCAAGTGGGTCTCTACGCTAGTCTGTGGGTCTCTATGCGAGTCAGTGGGTCTCTACGCGAGTCAGTGGGTCTCTACGTGAGTCTGTGGGTCTCTACGTGAGCAAGTGGGTCTCTACGTGAGTCTGTGGGTCTCTACACGAGTCAGTGGGTCTCTACGCTAGCCTGTGGGTCTCTACGCGAGTCTGTGGGTCTCTACGCGAGTCTGTGGGTCTCTACGCGAGTCTGTGGGTCTCTACGCGAGTCAGTGGGTCTCTACGCGAGTCAGTGGGTCTCTACGCGAGTCTGTGGGTCTCTACGCGAGTCAGTGGGTCTCTACGCGAGTCTGTGGGTCTCTACGCGAGTCAGTGGGTCTCTACGCGAGTCAGTGGGTCTCTACGCGAGTCTGTGGGTCTCTACGCGAGTCAGTGGGTCTCTACGCGAGTCAGTGGGTCTCTACGCGAGTCTGTGGGTCTCTACGCGAGTCAGTGGGTCTCTACGCGAGCCTGTGGGTCTCTACGTGAGTCAGTGGGTCTCTACGCGAGTCAGTGGGTCTCTACGCGAGTCTGTGGGTCTCTACGTGAGTCTGTGGGTCTCTACGCGAGTCTGTGGGTCTCTACGCGAGTCTATGGGTCTCTACGCGAGTCTGTGGGTCTCTACGCGAGTCTATGGGTCTCTACGCGAGTCAGTGGGTCTCTACGCGAGTCTATGGGTCTCTACGCGAGTCTGTGGGTCTCTACGCGAGTCTGTGGGTCTCTACGCGAGTCAGTGGGTCTCTACGCGAGTCTGTGGGTCTCTACGCGAGTCTGTGGGTCTCTACGCGAGTCTGTGGGTCTCTACGCGAGTCAGTGGGTCTCTACGCGAGTCTGTGGGTCTCTACGCGAGTCTGTGGGTCTCTACGCGAGTCTGTGGGTCTCTACGCGAGTCAGTGGGTTGACCACCCACCGCCCTGTGTCTGGACGCTCACGCAGCCGTCGCTGTGATCCCACCCCGACCCCGCCCGGCAGAGTCAGGGAGCCGCGACCCTACTGACAAGCGCAAGCGGTCGCGCGCCCCCGCCAGCACCTCCTCTTCCAGCCCCGCCAGTCCTGGGGGCGCTGCCCCCGTAAGCAAGCGGCGTCGCACGTGAAGCACACATGAAGCGCACGTGAAGCGCACATGAAGCGCACACGCAGCGCTCTCCAGCAGGTCGGGTAGCAGGATTATTGAGCGAGTGGGTGGGTGGTTGGGTGAGTGAGCGGGAGAATGAGTGAGCGGGAGAATGAGTGAGTTGGCAAATTGGTGGGCGGATGAGTGAGTGGGTTGGTGAATGAGTGGGCAGGTGAGTGAGCTGGTAAGTGAGTAGGCGGGTGAGTGTGTGAATGGGTGAGCGATTGATTGAGTGAGCGGGCAAGCGAGCGGGCACGTCAGTGGGTGAGCGATTAAATGAGTGGGCAGATGGGCGAGTGAGTGGGCGGGCAGACGGGCGGGCAGAGAGCGGGCAGGCGGGCGAGAGAGCAGAGGGTTGTGAAATGCACCAGGACACGCCGGCCGTCACCGGACTGGACATCCTGGCGTTTGGCACAGACCCTCCGGAGAAAACAACTCCCACGTGATCATCGTCACGGCTACCTCCGAATCCTCTTCGGCTGCTGCTGCTGTCTCACCGAAGAGAGCAGAGTTTGTTCGTCTTTCCGTCTTCTTACTATCGGCCTTCCCCATGGACTGCAGCATTCCACTCGTCGCCGTCGTAATCACAGACTCTGGTTGCAGGTTAAGACCGGAGGAGAACCTCCCCGGACTTCAATTTAAATACATTGCCAGCTCCTCGGCCGCCCAGTGTCCAGTGTGGCAGAACGGCCCAAACAAAGACGAAGATCTCCCGTGCAGCCTTAACAGACTGTTGGGGCAAGTGCTGTTAGCGAGTAGCACCTGTGAAGTCCAGCAGGGCACACGAGGTGGGTAGCCAGCACCATGCCTGGCCGCCTTTGTCTCCGACATTGGCGATGTTTACTACACACCGCACCGGTCCTTGGAGGCCCAGGACCAGTACAGATAATCGTCGCCGGTGTTGGCCGTGAGTGGGAATCGAACTCGGGTCACCGGGTTCGTAGCACAGGAACACGGGGGTGGGGGGGGGGTGTGGGCGGGAGCATCGCAGATTTGTGGAGTTCCACGTTTAGCGATTTCCTTTCTCTCTGTGGAACTTCGCACGGCAGTGAGGGACGGGGGGGGGAAGCTTTCTCAACGTACACCCCCCCTCTGCCGGCCCCCCCCCACCAGCCAAAGAGAGGAACGTTCGTGTGGCACTCGGCGGTCGCCCACCGGTGTTTTGTTTTCATCTAGAGCTGGAATTCGGTCAAATAAAAGTGCGGAATGAAATTAAAATTGTGTTCTTTGTTGCGTATGCGTAGTTATTACCGACCAAGGGACCAGAGTATTGTTATCGCGCGTTTGGTTTACAAGATTTGTAAAGTTTGGTTTACAATAAGATGTCGGAAGTCTGGTTTACGACGGTGAACATGGTTGCCTTGGCAGTGCATCGCCGCTGCTCGCTCTTGTCGGTCGCATTTACTCTTAATTTCGATGGTGACCTGAGACTAAAGGAGAGCCCGGCAATGCGGTTCTCCGGGTACTGTCGATGGTTTTTGCAGAGTGCGTGGTGTGCTTTTTGTGCCTGTCTGTGTGTTGCTGTTTAGGTTGGCTCAGCCTCAAGTGAGTACCTGTTGCGGTGTGTAGTGAACATCGCCATTAGGGAGACAAAGGCGGTAGGGCGTGGTACTGGCCACCCACCCCCTCGTGTGCCACTGCTGGCCTTCATAGGTGCCCGCTAACAGCACTTTCCCCAGCAGTCTGTTAAGGCTACACCGGGATCTATATGTGAATGTGTGTGTATACGGATCATTGCACCTACTACAGTAAGAGAGTGAACACGTGGGAGAAACGCATTGGGTTTCTGGGGTTTAACTTTAACCACCTATCTCTGGTCACAAATCAAAGCAAGAACGTCATTTTATTTTTTCCATTTAATGTTTGTTAGCGAGAGGTAAACAATGACACTGTTTAATTAACCGGTTGTTTATTATATGACGTTGACAGCAGTGATGCTGTTTGATATCCGGCCAAAGAGTTGGGCTGCATTTTTTAATTTTCAAGTAAAATGTATTTTATTGATTTCTGAAAACGGGAGAGCTTGGGAAAAAAAGGTTATCACTTGCAAAGGGCGTGGTGCTGACCGCCCACCGTTCCGGCCTTCATCGATAATGCTTGCCGCTAACAGCACTTGCCTCAACAACCTATTTAGGCTATACTGGTGGGAAATTTGTCTTTGTTATTGGCGTCACAGTCCAAACAACTTGAGGTAAAAAAAAATTTTACACCGCTAATTACTTTATTGGAATTCCCAACAGTAACATCGGCCCACCTCGCCCTCCCACCCACTATTGGCAGACTAAAGGCCGGCACTGTGGCACACGGGGGTTGAGTGACCACCACCATGCCCGGCCGCCTTTGTCTCTCGAGTGGCGATCATGTTTACACATTGCACGAGGTACCTGATTGAGGCTGAGTCGACCTAGAGGAGGCCCAGGACCGGTTCAGATAATCACTGGTGTTGGCCATGAACGGTAATCAAACTTCGGGATGGCCAGGTTCGTAGCACAGTGTTAACCGCTACCCCACCGCTACACCACCGCTCCCCACATCAAACACAAATATTCCCCCTAAAGCCTTCACACTGTTCAGGCAAGTGTTGTTCGCGAGCAGCAGTGTCTATGAAGGCTGGGGCACGGCACACGAGGGGGTGGGTGGCTGGCCAACACCACGCCCGGGCGGGCCACCTATATCGTCACGCACACACACTGTGGTCCTACGACTCTTGCGCTTTCCACGTCACGGAATCTTTAACCTTCGCCCTGAAGGTGGACGTCGGCGCCGGATGTCCTGATCCGCACGCCCAGCACTGCAGTATTAACCAGGGGCTGCCCGCCGGAGCCCCACCGGCAAACCTCCACAACGGCCGGCAGTCCCGCTATTTAATCCATTACTTAATCCTATTAATAGCGCTGTTAACTTGTATTAATAGTGATAATTGCAATTAATCGCGCTATTAACGCCTATTAACAGTGATACTAATTGTAATCAATCCCATTAATTGCTATTACTTATTAATAGTGATATTAATAATTTGAATTAATCATTAATTGCGCTACTAATCCTATCCGTCCATCAATTCGCACCAACTCATTTGACCGGAACCTCACTCATCCATCCTTGCACTGGCTGGCTGGGTGAGTGAGTGTGTATGGGTGGCTGGCTGGCTGGGTGAGTGAGTGAGTGGGTATGGGTGGCTGGCTGGGCTGGCTGGTTGAGAGTGGTATGGGTGGCTGGATGGGCTGGTTGGCTGAGTGAGTGGGTATGGGTAGCTAGCTTGAGTGAGTGGGTATGGGTGTCTGGCTGTGGTTGGGCTGGCTGGGCTGGGTAAGTGGGTAAGGGTGTCTGGTTGGGCTGGCTGGCTGGGCTGGCTGGGCTGGCTAGCTTGGTGAGTGAGTGGGTATGGGTGGCTGGTTGTGGTTGAGCTGGCTGGGTGAGTGAGTATGGGTGGCTGGCTGGGTGAGTGAGTGGGTATGGGTGGCTAGCTGGGTGGGTGAGTGAGTGGGTATGGGTGGCTAGCTGGGTGGGTATGGCTGGCTGGGCGAGTGATTTTTGCTGGCTGGCTGTGTGAGTGGGTATGGATGGCTGGCTGTCTGGGTGAGTGGGTCTGGATGGCTGTCTGGGTGAGTGAGTATGGATGGCTGTCTGGGTGAGTGAGTATGGATAGCTGGCTGTCTGGGTGAGTGAGTATGGATAGCTGGCTGGCTGGGTGAGTGGGTATGGGTGGCTGGCTGGCTGTGTGAGTGGGTATGGGTGGCTGACTGGCTGGGTGAGTGGGTATTGCTGGCTGGCTGGCTGGGTGAGTGAGTATGGGTGGCTGGCTGGGTGATTGGGTATGGGTGGCTGTCTGGGTGAGTGAGTATGGGTGGCTGGCTGGGTGAGTGAGTATGGGTGGCTGGCTGGCTGGCTGTGTGAGTGGGTATGGGTGGCTGGCTGGCTGTGTGAGTGGGTATGGGTGGCTGGCCGGCTGGCTGTGTGAGTGGGTATGGGTGGCTGGCCGGCTGGCTGTGTGAGTGGGTATGGGTGGCTGGCCGGCTGGCTGTGTGAGTGGGTATGGGTGGCTGACTGGCTGGGTGAGTGGGTATTGCTGGCTGGCTGGCTCTGTGAGTGGGTATGGGTGGCTGTCTGGGTGAGTGAGTATGGGTGGCTGTCTGGGTGAGTGAGTATGGGTGGCTGGCTGGGTGAGTGGGTATGGGTGGCTGGCCGGCTGGCTGTGTGAGTGGGTATGGGTGGCTGACTGGCTGGGTGAGTGGGTATTGCTGGCTGGCTGGCCTTGGCTCTTTGCTCAGTCAGAAGGGCACCATCTCAGATGGCAGTCGCCGCTTATGGTGCTGCGGCGAGAGTGCGAAGTCGAGGCGGATCAGCTCCCGGCCCCCCGCAGTGTTCACGTTGCTGCCGGGGCCTCGATGTGCCGTGGTCAAGTATGGGAAGTGCCCCCCCGCCTCGTCCGGCTCCGACTCCAGGGGAGCCACCGACACCGCTGTTGCAGCCGCAGAGCTCAAGTCATCCGGGTTCGACTCCGGGTCATCGGGAAACACGAGCTCCCCCTGCGCGAATGCGTGGGGTGGGGGAGAGGGGAAGCCGGCCGTCGGAGTTGGTTAAGGCCGCCGTGGCCTGCAATCCAGAGTGTCGCCGGTTCGACTACAGCTCCTGGCGTGACTGTTGTATATCTATAAACTGGAAAAGAAAAACTATAAGTGATATTATGGGACCTTTTTTTCCAGTGTCAAAGTATGAAACATTAAAATACATGTTTACCCTCTGGCAATAAAACATGTTAAGATGTTAAACCACCAAATAAATACCTTCTGCAAGGAATCAAGTCTGCAGAAAGAAGGCTGCTGTCTGGTGTAGGCCAATCTTTTTCAAAGACAATGCCATCTATTAACAGCATGTTTGTTTGCATGTTCACCACAGATACCATGTGTGGTTAATGCAGTACTTGATTCCTTGCCGCTGGCTCAGCCAGTGGAAGCTCTCACCTGCTCGTTGTAGTTGGTGAGGAAGCCCCACTTCTTCTTCCTGAGAAACAGTCAAGTCGCACCCATCAGAGACACCGAGATCACCACCACCACCATCATTATTATTATTTAGAGTATTTGGCTGCTGCTGCTATAAATTTCCACATAAGCCACCTTGAACACGAGAAAACTCTGGACCGGTTTCGACACGCAATGTCTCATTGGCAGAAGGATCAGTCTTGCTTGGGGCAGCCACGGTGGCTCGGAGATGTTAATTACCTCGCCTGGTATGCAGTAGGTCGTAGCTTCGACCCTGACGCCCGCTGCTGTATATATTGAACTTTAAGTGTCCCTCTCTCCCTGTGGTCGCACGGATTTTTCTCCAGGTCGTGCAGTTCTTTACCCCCCCCGCCCCTCACATTTAGGATCAACGTCACGCGTTTCGAATATTAGCTGTTATAAATGTCCACACGACGACAACGACGATGATAAGCCACTTCGTTGAGCTATCATTTGTGATAGCCAAGGTCGCTAGAACCCGATGCGATTGAACTGTCAGTTAATGAGCAACAGGGCAGCAGTGACGGAGCAGTCAAGAGACAACCTCGTGTATTAAATGTCCATGCGCTGATGATGATAAGCCACATCGTTGAGCTGCTAACATTCGTGATGGCCAAGGGAGGCTTCTCAAAAAATAAGTCAATATAGCTCAGTGGGCCTTACACGCTGGGTAAAAATACAAAATGTAGTTTATAGTTTCAATTAAAAAAAACGCGAGTTTATAGAACGAGCGAGCCGTCTTACTGTGAGCCTATATAGCGGTGGTGGGGGGGGGCTTAGGCTTAGACAGCCAG